CTCTCCTCCTCAAAGGAAAGACACTCCTTTAGGCTTTCCATAACTCTCATTACTGACACCTCTGTGTGTACCTATGCCTAGAATTATGTTCATTATACAATTTAGGATTGTTACTTAGAAGAGACCAGATCTTTATAATGAGCCTATATCATTCTACAGGAACAAAGTATCTTTTCCAAAACAAAAGCCAAAGAAAGGCAGACTTGAAGTCAGTACTCTTAATAAAATCTGTTGGTTTGGGAAGGCAGGGGTATAGACTATAGGGTTTGATGCTTACTTTTAAAATGGCAAAGTTCAACGGTAGGCCTCATCAACCTAAGTGTCTCAGTGGCACCCAGTGTGTGTTATGAGCACCCTCATCTGTTGTTATGTGCACAGAGGTGAGCAAGCCTGACTCCCCATCAAGGCTGCCAGTACAGATGGTGGCATCCATGATTCTGGCAGCATGGTGACAGCAGTGCGACTGAGTCCACAGCCACCATGTATTATTGGCACAGGAATGCTCTCAAGGCATGCAATGCTATTACTTTCCCCGCTGCCCAGAGAAATCTTCCTTGGGTACAGAGGAAACCACTACAAAGACCACACCTCCCAGAGAGTTACAACGCTTCTGGAGAGAGCGGCCCTGAGTGACCTGCAGAGCCAGAGTCGGGTTGCTGCTCTCTGCAGCCTGCTGCTCGCCATCACAGTCATGAGCCTGCAAAATCCAAACCTCCCAAACAAAAACCACCCAAGCAATTGACGAGAATTAAAACTTAGGGAAACATCCAAGAGTAGGAATGAGGAACAAGAAGTGGTGATATGCGAAGGCTTCTTCAGAGCGCTCTTTTCCCTTGCAAATTTACCTGGAAGCAGTCAGAGCAGCTGCTTCAGCTCCAGGCTTTCTAGCGATGCTCTCAATTTCACATCTCGCTGTAACTAAATAAGGCAGAGACATCTTTAAACTCCCATGGATGGAAATTTACCTGCACAATGTCATTGCCTACCTCTCTTCCCTCTAACCCAGATGTGGAAGTCATTTTCAGTTTCTTCCTTTCTTTTCCAGTATGACATCCACTTAGCCTGTTGCCTCTTTATGTGGTGCTGTCTTCAAACATGACTGTCCCCTCATCTCTCTTGCCCAGAGCAAGTCCTGTGCCCAGACAGAAACAATTGATCCTCACAGCCTCCCTACAACCCACACCTCCTTCATTTCCACACAAAGCAGTAAGAATTATCTCCCCAAAACAGCTGTTTTCTGTAATAAGAAAGCGAAGTTCTGTGACTAAGCTGAACATCCCTCCTGTTCAAGTACTGAACTGCTTCCTAGGTGCAAGTTCTAGCAAATTGAAATTTCTAAATACTATTTATTATGCCTTTTGCTAATTGCTCAGGAAGCTTTCAAGCATCTGCCCACATTTCTCTGCATATTCAAAGTCCGTTTCTATTCCATTTAGTACACAAGCAGGTCTTACACATTCAATCCACCTTCTGCTTGTACTCTTCCCCACTGTGGTTGAGATTACTCTACTGTCTCCTCTACTTACTCTCCCCTCCTTCTTCTGACTTCTTTCTAAATAAGTACAGTTGACACACAGCTACCCCATCTTCCTTGCAACTAGGAGTGTCCATGTGGCTAAGTGATAAGCAACATGTAAGCCAAAATGTTAAATGTGACTTAGCAGGACAAAGCATTCCTATCTTCAACACCTCTTTCCTCCATCTAGTTAGAATACAGCTGCGGTGGCTGGCACTCAGGTAGCTATGCATGAGTTTGGTATAGCAAACAGACAGAACCTGAAGCTCCTAGCATTACAGGAAACCATATCTGTCCTCAAACACCTATTCTGCATTACTATAGAAGGAAAGAACTGACTCCTATGTTTAAGGCACTAGGATTTCTGTGGCTCCATCTATTGCTCAAGACTTGTGACCACCCACTTTAGATGCATCTCTCCACCTCCGGGCTTCCACTTGCTACTTCCCTTGTCCCGCTAGGGAGGTCCCTGCCCAATTAATTTTCTTTTTCTTATTTTTATCCCAAAATGTCTGCTTTATTTCTTCCTTTAAAGTACAGCTTGAGATCTGACACCTTCATGAAAATGTGACTATGAAGATGATACTACAGCTAAACTTACTCGACCCAGTTGCTCCTTTCTAAACATAAATGCATATATCTATGTATCTGGTACAGACATCTATGTATCTAGTACAGAAACAAAAATAATCTAACCGAGTTTCTCTTACCAGGGCTCCAGCAGTGTCAGCATCTAAACACGCACTTCAAGCAGTACTCACCACAGCCTCACTCCTGGAGCCCGTTGTTGTTAAGCTGACTTGAGAGCACAGCGTATCTCGCAATGTCACTCCCATGACAGCAGAGCACAGGGGTTGCCTACCATGTGCAGTGCAGGGCCTGGAAGATGTCAGGCCATTCTAGATATATGTGTCTACTAAGTGCATTCTAACAAAGCTCCTGAATTTTTTTTCCTTTGAGGCCAGGTCACCTGTGTGGCACAGGCTAGCCTCAAACTCTCAGTTCTCCTCACTGGGCTCCTGACACTGGAGGCTCAGCTAAGGGTCACTGTGCCTTGGGTTCATGATGGGAAAAAAAAGCCATTCAGAGCTCTTCCTGGTGACTGAGATGTGTGATAGCATTAGATGACTTGGATTTAAAAACAACTTACTCTATGAATATAAAGCAACAGACTGAAATTTCTTGTGTGCCTCAAAAATATGGCTCAGAGATCAGTTACTTTTGCAGTGACTTAGAGACTCACTTCGTTAGCTTGCTGTCACCCAAACTGTGCCTGGCTCAGGGCAGAAGCATGTGACCTTTCTGCTCCTTTCCCAGGCCACCTGCTTCAGCACCATAGCTAGGTCTCTATTTAAATTCCCCTCCTCCAAAACATTGCCCCACCCTATATCTGTCCCCAAATAAAGTCATCCCTGTCATTCTGTCCCTGACTGCTTTCCCTTTGGGTAAAGGACGAATTACCATCTGACATGGTCTATGCTATTCTGTGCAGGTGTGCCCCTGGGCTGGCCTCTGTTACAAGTTCCATGGTGAAGGGAGCAGTGACTCCCACACTGTTGTTGCTCCAAATTTCTTCTGGCCATTCAAATTTCAAGTAAAAAAAGCTCAAGAAGAAAGAGAGTTAGAAAGTGGCCGAAAGAGCCTGGGAGATGGCTCCACGGTAAAGGGTCTACCATGCAAGCATGAGACCTATGCAATACGTTAGTTACAAGTATCCACCTCTGCTTCACAGTGCTGGATAGAGGGCCAAATACCAACAGCCCTGAAGCTGGACTCAGCGGTCAGTACCTGGCTACTGAGCATGAGGAGCCTCAGAAGTCATGGGAAAAGCCAGCTGCCACAGCACAATCTGTAATCCCAACACTGTGGGGGTGGGGAGGGGGTGACAAGTGGACCCTGGAGCTCCCTGGCCAGCCACCCTACCTGAAGAGACAAGTTCCAGACTAAGTGAGCTACCCTGTCTCAAAAATTCAAGGTGGGATTTGATTAAGGAAGATATCAGTGTTCACTTCGAGCCTCCACATTCACATGTACCCCCAACATGCACACACCTACATAAACATGTACATACACCATACACACACACACACACACACACACGAGCAAGAAAGGTGATAGAAAACAGTAAAGGGGATGAAGAAACTCTGAAGATCAGTCACAGCTGAGTACTGTGCTCTTAGTGTCAGCTATGGAGGACTTCTTCCAAAATAAAAGGGTCCCCTGAAAAAGAGAATCCACTGATTCTGGAAGCATTTGGTGTTTGCTGTTATATTACAAAGAACCCTTCTAATGCCTTTCTTCATCACAGGTACAAACTGAGCGAACATTTAAGAACACTGGACAAAGATAGGGAAGGATGATTTAGGACCAGGTTGTGTTAATATTATTGCTGATATTTTTAAATTTCTGTGATTCATTGATAATTGAAATTCACTGCTTATGTTGAATTCCTGTAGCACTTATGGGGCTTTGTTTAATAGATATCTTGATGGGGTTCAGGCTGCTAACACCACCACAGAACGGGTGACTCAGAAACAATAGAAATCATTTTCAAACAGCTCTGGAATATGGGAATTCCATAATCAAGGTGTCTGTAAGGTCAGGTCCTAAAAAGCCGCCTCTTCCCATAGTAGCAGGAAGGTAAAAGAGAGCTCCTAGGATTTCAGGACTCAAATCCTGTCTGGAGAGGGGGTGGGGGTTCTACCTCTGTGACCTAATCATCTCTCAGAGCCCACACCTCCAGCTGTCAGCACACTGTGAAAGTTCCATGGGGGTGGGTGTAAGCCTTCAGTCCATGGCCACAGACATAGATGCTGTGGCTGGGGGCAAGCTCTGAAAATCCTGGGATGCACTTTCAGCCCGAGTTTAGTTGCTTTCAAGAAGCAACTAAGTCAGATTGCATCTGTGGTTTTCTTCTCCTAACTGCCCATCTTTATGCGCAGCTCATCAGTGGGTGCTGGAGAAGCTACAGCAAGATATCATTCTTTGATGATTTAACAAGATTAATAGGAAAGATCGTTCCATTTCCCTGATAGTCTTATATCTCCCCCAACCTTTGTTTTAAAGTTCAGTGATCCAGAGTTAAAGTTTTAGACAAAGGAAAGCCTTACAAAGAATCATGTTAGAAGAATATTTAACTATGTTAGAATCTCCAAACACATTTAAATAAACATGCCCATGTACCCAGGCCCCTACTCTCAGAAAGTAAACCTCCTTCATACTATAGTTAGAAAAAAAATATTAAACTGAATAAAGATGCCAAATAGCATAGCCGCTAGGCTAACAGTTTTAAAACCAGTTTATGTGAATTCAGAATTGTCCACTGAATATCCCCCTTCATCTTTGGTCCCTGCAGTATGGAGTCTAACAGTGGGACGGTCCTGCTGACATGGTGTTGATGATTTGGTATGAGCCTGGTGTCTTGTGTTTCGAGCTGTTCTCAGTGGACATCTGTCATGGTCTAGGCCACTGCTTATGTACATACTTTTATTACGTAGACTCGCAATTGTCAGGAGCGAATGCTTCTTCTCAGAGGGAAGGCTTTCCGGGATGAGGACAGAAGCACATGCTGCAGGCGAGGTCCCTGTGGCAGGTAACCTGGTGGGAAACATCATGCAGTAGGAGGTCCGCTGTCTCGTCCAGCTCGCCACTTCCCTCTCTTTAAAAAGCAGCTGCTCATCCATCAGCAGAGTTATGACTTGTTTAGACTTCTCCCGGATATAGCGACCTGAAAAACAGCCAAGAATTTGCTTTAAAATGGATTAAAACTGTAATTAATTTTATCCTAAATAAAATTAAGGCAAAGCTGAAATGTAGCAAAGGGGAAAGACAAGTAGAAGACTGTTGATGAACACATTCCTCTCTGTGTCAACTAAGCAAACAAATCATCAATACATGATGAAATTGCATCTTATCTGGCATTATGCTTTTCATTTTAAATGCATTATTGGATTTTTCTTTGGAAAGCCACCCATACTCTGCAATAAATCACTAGCACAGGCACAGAAGGAAGGTTTAAGCATGAGGTCAGGGGATGGCTCAGTGGGTAAAATGCTCGCTCTGGGAGCATGAGCTCCCAGAGCCTAGGAGTGTCAGTGGGTGCCTGCGACCCTAGTGCTGGGGACCTAGAAAAGGAGGGTCAGAGACTCGCTTGTCAGTCAGTCTATCCAAAGTAGCAAGCACCAGGTTAAATAAGAGGTGCTAGCTCAAGAAAAGAAAAGTGGAGAAGGAAGTAAGGAAGGCCCCTGACACCAACCCTGGCCTCCACAAGCACCTACACAGATAAGCAAGAAGTATGTACACAAAGATTAGTTTCTCTACTCTTATCTCTTTGCCATTTTTTCCTTTCAAATTTCTTTTGTAATTACTTCAAACTCTGTTCTAAACACCCTTAATTTATGGTGTATACTCAGGCCCTAACTGAAGAGGCACACTATGTGCTGGACCCACTCAGTGTCATATGAAAGGCAAAAGTGGTTGGAACTTTAACCCTAGGGGTGACGTCAGGCATTGTCTTTCCCTGGGAACAGGGCACAGTTTAGATTTGAAGATGTGGAAATCCCATGTCTTCCCATTGGCATCTTCAGGAGCTCGCCCCCTCTCCTTTCTCCTCCACCAGTACCTCACCCTGTAGTCCCAAGCCTCTTGCCAACAACACCAAACTCCAGGCAGCTGTTGGCTCCTCCAGGAACTCTGCATGGCTGGATCCCTGACTCATTTGGTCTCTCCTCAGATACCTCCTCCTGCGGTCCTCTGAAGAAGCCCCACCCCATCAGTCTATTCCTCATCCTGCTTTGCTTCTTCTGTGGCATCTGTCACTACCTACTATCACCGGTGTGTCACTTGTTTGTTTTGTCACCTAAAATATAAACCCCGTGAGAGAAGTCTCATTGCACACACTGATGGCATATAACATATATTCAATAAATATTTACTGAGTGAATGAATCAAGAAAGAAACACCATCAAAAAGTTTCAAATGTTCTCCTTGCTATGGTGTAAATGAAGCAGATTGCTGGAAGATGCTGGGAGCCAATTTACAACTTAGCTGCCTCAGAAAGTTGCTTGGCTTAAAATAGCCTCCTGCAATACCCCCAATTAGAAACTAGAAATTATGGGCTAGATTTGGAACATTCTACTTGGAGTCTGTGGGGATTGGTGGGATGTGGGGGCAGCTAACTGGCTCCAAGTGGCACACAGGCACAACAAGCAGACAAGCTATTTGCACTGGTGCAGGCCTCCTCCTCAGAACATCAAACTCCCCCAGGGAACAGAAGTAGCTTCAGGAAGGCCAGGTCACTGCATTTTAGCCAAAATAAGGAAGAAATCACCCAGAAGTGGGCATTTCACTTAACTCTGCTTTCTTCCCCAGGCTCACATTCCTCTGCCTGGCCACTCTACAGCACTGCAGCGAAAAGAGAGAAAAGCAGGGAAGAGCCCTAAGTCTGTTTCATGGCAGAGACAAACAAACAATAGCAGGGCAGCATCCGTTTGCTTCTAAGCAATATGTTTCTAAGACGACATGAAGAAGGGCACAACATAAAACCAGAACAGTACAGGAAGGACAAACTCAGGCAGCAACAGCTTCATGTCTGAACTATGAAAGAAATGGGGCACGGTAGAAAACATGGGTTTTCTGAAATAAGATTCACTCCATGCTCTGCAATCGGAGGGCTCCCTCTTCTTCCTCTGAACCGAAAGGATCCATGAGAATGACTGACTGATCCAGTTTGAAGCAGTCACATGTGTTGTTATGACAGGGTGGCAATGCGTATTGTAGCCTCCCCGCCATCAGGAAAGCACAGCACAGGGCTTGGGAGATTGTTCAGTGGTTAGAAACATTGGTTGTTCTTGTAGAGGACCCGGCTTCAGTTTCCAGCATCCAAAACCATGATTAACTCTTGTTCCAGGGAATCCAGCACTCCCACACTGGCCTTTGTGAGCACCAGGCTTGCATATGTTATACATACATACATGCATGCAGGCAAAGCACACACTAGAGATAATAAATATTTTTGAAAATAAAAGTACAACATGTAACAAAAATATTAATAAGTAAACACATAAAGATTTTTTAAAAAAAAGACCTAGAATGAGGGCAGAATCAATGTGGCAGAGGAGGATCAAGCAGAAGGTATCCTCTCAAATACAAGGTAAAAGTGCACACATGTACTAGGGTTCTCTTGGGTGAAACCTGGGCCTCAGACTTGGCCAGGCCCTCCTTCCGTGTCATTTAGTGTTCTGTCACAGTTTGGAGCTGCTCCTTTGACACATGCCTTTCCTCTGTCAGACTCCAACATCCACAAAGGCCAGAAGGACACTTAAGAAGTGTGTGAGGCGGATGAGCATGGCAAGGAAATGTTCCCCAAATGCCAGGGGGAGAGTCTCAGAGGTCTTGGGCACTAAGGTCTGTTACTAGAAGAATGTGTGATAAGAGCTATAGAAAGACATGTCTACCTTAACAACACTTAGAAAACATGCTAATAATCCTGTCTCCTTCCTGAGCCACTATCCTACCTAAATCTACTCTTCTTCCTGTAGCAAATTTTACGTTCATTCTAAGTGGGGAATATAAACATACAATGCCACGCCTCCATGCAGTAATCAGGTCTACCAACCAAATCCACTAAATCTATCCTTTCTCTCCCTTGGTTCAAATTATTTGTTGCTTATAGTAGCTTAAATTATGTACCTAGTCATCTTCTTTCCAATTTACCTTCTAACAGGCCTCAAGCAAGCAGGGACAGGAAGGAAATAAGAAGCATCTAAACTTTAGTTTATGACCAGGTTATTTCTATTTAAAAACAAAATCCCCTTCAGTCAGGGGCTAGGAGGGTATCTTGAGTAGAGCACCTGCCTAGCATCCTCAAGGTACTGACTTCTGTCCACAGCACTGCAAACGCAAATAGGCAAAACAAAACCCCACCTGTGATGTTGGCACAGTAAGGTCATGCTTCAAAGCCTTGTTCTGCTCTGCTCAAAACAGCCAGCAGTAACAAGCACTGCCAGTCTCCAAAAAAGATAAACTCCACAGAGAAATACAAGTGAGAAAGTCACATGTGTGGCTGAAGTCACAGGGCTGCTGGGCTTTTGATCTGGCAAATAGGATTTCAGCAACTTGGGTGTCAGAGATCTAGACCTGATCTCCCTTTGATAAGAGAGGTTCGTGTTTACAAAAAGAAAGTGAGATCCCCCTGCTCTCTGGGATACAGCCATTTCTATTTATTTGGACCTAGAAGCAGGGCCACATGAACAGTCTTAACACATGGAAATAAGTTAAGTTACCTACTGGCTCAAGTCTGGGTCTGCAACACCTTAATTTTAACTGCAGGGCTCAAACTCCAAGTCATTTTGATAAAGTCTTTATTGGAGGCCAGAAAGGAACAGGGTGGATGGAATGAGCAGCTCAGATGAAGGCAACATGAGCATGCACAGCTATAGTAAGAGCCTCCTACTCAATGAGCCGGAAGCTATCACTCTGTACCACATTAGATAGTCAATAGGACTAATCCTACTACAGACAAAATGTGTCCATAAGATCTTCTACAGAATCAATATTATATAGGATTTTAAATTTTTCCTTAAAAGATTTTTAAGTAAACCATTGAGAAATTAATGCAGGGCAGGGTAGATGATCAGTATGTAAAAGTGTTGTGTTTTTTGTTTTGTTTTGTTTTGTTTTTGCCCAAGCCTGATACCTGAGTTTGATCCCTGGAACCCACACAAAAAACAACATACGGTGGTTCACATCTGTAATCCCAGCACTCTCACAGTGAGATGGGAGGAAGAGTCAGGAGAAGCAACGAGAAACTCATGGTCCAGCTAGCACAGAGTGGCAGAGCAACTGAAACAAGAGAAACCAGCCTCAAACAAAGTGGAAAGAAGGAATTGAATTCCAAAAGTGGTCCTGACCTCCATCCATACACATGCTGTGCGCGCACACACACACACACACACACACACACACACACATTAAAAAAATGTGAGACTCACAAATATAAATAAGAATATGGAGTTATGAAACAAAACAAAAATGAGCATAAATGAGAACAGATGATCTGATGGAATAGAATAATAAGCATTTCAGCTACGAAACTACAATCAAAATTGGGATTAAAATTAAAAACAAAATGCCCTCAACATCTTAGACTTAGACAGCTGAGGAGAGCCTTGATGGAGGTAAGCAGCAGCAAAGTATTCAAAGCACAGCAGAGGGCACAAGGTAAGAGTAATTAAAAGTCACAAAGGACAGATAGAAAGACCCCAATATTCATCCAGAAGTTTCAAAGAAGACAGTTTTAGAAAAACAGTGTTCAGAAAGACAAGTGCTGAGATTTACAGGTAAGTCCTGATCTGCAGACCTGGCCAGGAACCCCTGGCTAGGAGTCACAGGCCCCAGGGGAAGAACCTACTCCTACTATTTTACTAAACTGACAACAGTATCTAAATGCCTTCTCAGTTTATTCGCCTGTGCCATAGACCAGATCAGTTCTCAGGCCTCATCAGAGAAGCTTCTCCATGCAGAGATGAAGGACTCATCAAAGAGCAGAGACTAAGTGACTCTGGAGGGCTTGGCCATAAATGGGACATCTGCATCATCCCTCTCCTCCCAAGGACCATCACAGGGGAGAGGACCCGGAGAACAAAACACTGCCTTCTGGACACAACAGGTGAACTTTTGAACTCACAATAGTGGGATTGCCTGACCAAGACCTGTGCAAGATCAAGC